TGCACAGTAATCGGCACAGTAACTAAGTATTACATCATGTATAACAATATAAAATAATATACTAATAATAATAATAATAATAAATATCTAAAAATAACTAATAATAAAATAAAATAAAATAATCATTCTATAACAATACTTTTTATACAGATAGTGCATTATATAAAGAGGAAAAAAAAATAGTATAAAAAAGATAAGTATCAGTTAGGTGCAAGTTAGTAACAGAAAAGACTGACCAGAAAAAAAAATAGCATTGGGACTTGAAGATTGGCTCTTGGCAACAACAGCAGAATTAGCAGCAATATAGTTAGTAATTTTAATCATATCAGAAAGAAAGCATATAGAAGTATGTACAGATAACCTCACAGCATTAAGGCATATTAACAGAGCAATTCAAGAGATAGAAGATAACAAAGTTTTGAAAAGGAAAAATATGATATGAATAATGAATATTGTAGGTTTACTTAAAAGCAAGAACAATAAAATAGAATTAGTTAAAGTCAAAAGTCATAGTGATAATAAGTGGAATGACAGAGCAGATTTACTTGCAAAAAAAGAAGCAATATATGGAAGGACAATAGTTACAGAAAAGATCAAGTGCAATACAATAGAGTATTACTTAAAATAAAAAAATAGAAAAGTTGATATATCAGCAAGACTTCTTTGTAAGATAGTTACAAATGCCAGAATTGGAGCTAGTTGAAGAGAAACAAATCCAATTCAAACACTAGAGCCAGAAACTGAGAATACTCGATATAATTGGTCAAGCTTTTGAAAAAAGATGAATAAAACAAAAGGTGTATATTGTATAACAAAAAAACTTAATACAAGAAGAGCAACAGTGATCAAATATATAATAGATAATCTACTAATGCTAGAAGAACTGAATAGAAGAAGGCCAGAAATATATACAATAACTGACTGTCAAGTATATCAAAAAGGTGAAAAGAAAACTTAAGCACACTTAGCAAGCTATACTGGACAAAGGAGCTTGTGGAAGAGAATCCAAAAGGTAGCAATGGTAGCAGCATGAAATAGTCTAAAAGAAAATGAAAAAGTTAAAATCCCACCTTTAGTGCTATAAGAGGCACTTTTTGGAAAGACAGAAGAAGAAAAAATTATTAACAGAACAGCTTTGATAAAAGGGCTAACAACAAATGAAGTTAGAAAAAGAATCAGACAGATTTTAGATAAGTAAGCAACACAGAAATGCATAGATATAGTAACAAGAATAGCATGAAACACATTTTACAACCAAGTATAAAGAGTTCAGTATAGAATGTATAAAAATAGAAAAAAAAGATTAATATAACAAGCAAAATGAAAAAAGGTGCTCAATTTAAAAGAAAATTAGGAAAAAAAACAAAGAAAATAAGATAACAAAGAAAGAAAAAAAAGAAAAGAAAGCAGAAAAAACAAATCAAATGAAGGAGGAAGCTTAGAAGTCAATTGATATACTTGTTACAAAAAGGAAAAGACCTTTCTGGTATGGCTTTAAGTAGTTAGACAAGCAGTCTATCTTTAACTGAGATAGTGTAACAGGTTGCACTTAGGCACCAATAAGATGGCTAAGTAATGCTAAACTTGAGTATTGGGGAATTCTATATAATTATAAATGTATATAGTTTCAAAAATCTTAATAAAGTACTAGTATAACTGCTTAAGATTAAAAAAAAATAAAAAAAAATAACTATGCATTTTTTTACTTCTTTTGCTTTTTGTATTTTATACTTCTTTTTAGAATATTTAGAACTGGGTTATTAGAGGTTTTAGAATTATGATCTGCTAGAAGAACTAAATACATTTTTGGCTTTAAACATACTAATTTGCCTATTGGATTTCTCTTTGTCTTATTTTTCATTAAAAACAAGTTTCCTAAATAGTTAAGATTAAAAATATTTGGCTTTTCTGCTTGATCTTTATAGATATTATTTGTTTTTATCGAATAAGTCTGTATTAGTATAAAATAAACAAACTTTATCTTTATAATAAGAATTATATAACTATACCAAAAGTTAAACATCATGGTCTTGCTAATATCAAAAATTGTCTATCTTACATAAATTAGTTTGTTTAAAGTTACTGTGCTTTTTAATATATAAATGGCTGTAATTTCTTTTTCAAATTGCTTGAAACTTACAAATAATGACAAACTTGCTAAGTGCCTAATTTTTTTATCTTCTTCTATTCAGAGTAACTTTATTCTTATATGCTTATGAATATTCTTTATTTGTTTATCAAAGATAGCATTATTTTTTAGCTTATAATATATAATCTCAAACTCATATTTATTAACTTTGGCTATTTTGTGTTTGTAAATATTTTTCTTAATATATATTCATAAAGATTGCCTAAACTTGAGAGCATTATGAACTTTTGTAATTTTTATTTCAAACTTCATATATGTTTAAAGAGCTTAGTAGTGAACTACATAATTTCTCTTAGTAAAAAGAATCTGAACTAGCTTCTCTCTTGATATATATTTTTTTTTTTTAACATTTTTATTATGCACTAACATTTTATTGTATAGACTAAGTCAGTTTTCTGATACTATCTGCTTTTCTAATACTAAAAGATAATCTGCAAAGTAATTGTGCAAATGTACTAAGGCTTCTAGATCAACTTTAAGTATATACCTTATTTTTGCATTTGATGCAATATTTTGAATATTTGATACTTTCTTTGAATTTACTTTATTTGGAATTTTTGTAGATATATATTGAGTCATCACACTTGAATATAAGGCATTTATATCTTTATATAAGGCCTAGGACTTCAGCTTGCTGGGCTCATAATTTGAAAATTATGAATTATTTGCTTTGGCATATCAATAACTTGTTATTGTTATTTCTTTACAAATACTCTTCTTAACTATTAAGTACTCATCCATATCTGTTATAAGCTTAAGTTCAGCTCTACTACTTTTGTATAAAGAATTATTAAACAATCTTGATACAGATACATAATAAGAAGAATCTAAGCTATCATCTTTTAAGCACATGATAGTGTAGTTTATAAAAATATCAGCAAGTAAAACTATATTAGTTTTGAGATAAAGGTTATAATACTTTTCAAAACTTTGCATTTCAAATATTTGTTATATTTTTTGTATATATTTATAATCTTCTTTACTAATATTTTGTTGACTAAGAATTAAATAAAAATTCTTTTTAGATGAGAGGCTTGTTCTGTTAAATTTTTCTTATGAATTTGTTTAATTATATAGAAATACTATTTTTTGAAAAAAAAGCATAATCTTATTTATTAAATAGCCTTTTTCTATAAAGTATTTTACAGTTAGAGAAAATTTTTTAAGCTTTTCTTCTAGACATTTCACTAACTTATTAAGACCCATTCTCATATGCTAAAATCTATCAAGAAATTGAAGCTGATCTGCATTTATGACCTTATATTTTCCTATATTTTTTAGGATACAATTTAGCTTATCAACCATAAACTTGCTCACAACTTTTATAAGCAGATGAGAGTCATACCTTTAGAGATTATAACAAATAAGAGGAACTTTAGTTTTAAAAAAATTTATATATAATTTTTTATTACAAGAGTTATAAGCTAGACCTCAGTATTTACCACTTATATGATTATGATTTTTATTTTGTAGTTAAGAGAACTTAAAGCTTTATAGTATTCTTTTTGTATTTTTTTCTTTTCTGAGTAATTCTTTTTCATACTAGCTTCTCATTCTTTAAGTTCTAGCAACCTATAGTTTGCTTCTTCAAATTTTTGTAATACTTTTTGTAATAGCTTTAGAAAAGGTTTTTTGCAAATCCAGCATTCTGTTATCTTATTGTATGCTCTAAGATCTCTTAATGCCATTATCATTTTTACAGATACAGATAAATCTGACTGAATATTTAGAAGCTCTTTTTCAATTTTTTTAACAAATTTTTCTAAAGCATCTGTTTCTCTATATAGATTATAACTTACAACCTTATAATTAAATAAATTATCTATGTAAACTATTATATGGCAGTATTCATATAGTTTGTGCATTTGTAATCTTTTAGTATGAGTTAACTTTGTTTTTTCTTCTAGAGTTAACTTTTCAATTAACTTTCTAAATTCTAGAAAATATGATATAGGTTGAGTTGTATGTATTTATAATTATAAAAAGCTTTAATAGCCTTATTTTTTACTAGCATTTGTGGTTGATAAAAAGCATTGTTTAGACTTTTGCATTTTAGCAAGTGTTTCTTGTATTCTTTTTCTGCTGAATATACATGAAAGCAATATTGACAAAGGTATTTTCTTTTTTTATATTTACTATAATTGTATACTAATTTGTGAAGGTCTTTAATAATACAGTAGTGGCTTCTATTCTTTTTTGTAATTACTAAAAGATTAACAGATTTGTATTTTTTTTCTTTTTTCTCTAAGATATAATAAAAATTAAAAAATTCATTCTGGTTGTGTTACTTATAAACATATAGGCTAATCTCTGGATTATTCTTTTTGAACTTCTTATAAACTAGTATTAAGACTAGTATCAGAATTAGAATGTTATTTATATTAGGTTTCTCTATGAAACCTTCATATAGATGATGTGGATTTTTCTCTGAATAAACTTTAACTAAATACAAAACTCCTAGAACACTTCATCTGAAACACCAGTCATCATTATTTTAAATATTTATAATTCTATTATTACATTTTGGCAAAGTTTTGAACAAAGGTATATAAGCAGTAGGTCTAATTGAATTAAAATTAGCAATTTCTACCAAATTCTTCTATATATTTTGAGTAAGTATTAGACATTTGGTATATTAGTTATCTCTAACCATCATACTATTACTTACTTATAAATTTTTTTCTTTAATTAATTAATTATTATATATATAGAGTATATATTATTTTCTAATCTCTTCTTCTTAAAGCCAGATATTTTTAGTTCATATTATATAGATAACTATTAATCTTTTTAGAATTTATAACTAAAAGAAAAAAAGAATTGCAATACTGAAACATTAACTAATTATTATTAATCTTTTTCAAACTTAGTAATAAAAATAGCAAAATGATTAGTGAATATCTATGCTTCTATTTTAAAAATTCTGAAAAAACTTGTAGAAGAGCTTGTATTTGTTCTAAAAAATATTAATTCTATTGAAAAGCTAAAAAATATATTTCTTGCTCTGATTGTAGTAAATTTATCTTTTCTGCTTGTGGCTGATAATTACTACATATTAGAGGCTATTATGTTATTCAATATTATGATAAACTGTGAACTAAGACTTTAAATGAATTCATCAAACAGTCTCTAAACAGTTTTAAAAAAGCAGTCAGAACCTATTCTTAACTAAAAAAAAGTTGAAACAATTTTACGAATTTTTTCTAGATTTTTACAAAAAAGTATTAGAATTAGATTTATATGATTAATATGTTATTTATAAGCTAATTTATACAAAGACACTTTGTAATATATTATTTTTTTTGTTAAACATAAAATTTTTGGCAGGCAAAATCATTAAATTTATTTATAGAGTAATAAAAACTATTGGAATTAATTATTTTTTTAACATATCTCAAATATTAGATATAAGGGTATAGGTCCCATAGCTTAGTAGTTAAGCTCTCATATCCTCCACAGTCAAGGTCAACAGTTCAAGTCTGGCTGAAGACAAAATTGAAAGATTTTAGCTTCTGTAACCTAATAAGGAGCCTGTAATTGAATACGAAGCCCTGTGGTTAAGTCCAAGTGCAGTACAATGATGGAAATAGGAATTCCCAAAAGGAGACCCAATCATGGAGTGCAGGCACTATGTGTAACAAGCAGTTGTTACAGAAGATTACAGTTATGAAAAGATTGCACATATAAGTCCTTTAGGCTAGAGCAACACCAACATCCTTATATCTCCCAATATGGGCAGTACCAACATCCTTGCACCCAACTTGTGGGATACTTGCTTGGAAGGATAATTAACAGATTGTGCAAATAAGTCTTAATTGAAATCCAAGAAGAGGATTTGATTAGGAGAGTAGTCTAACAAGTAACCAAGACTGGAATGGTGAGAGAAGCAGTGAACATAAGGACAGACTGTGATAAAGGATTGGTCTAACCAAAATTGGAAGCATCTTTGACATAGCCGAATAATCTAATTATAGAAAAGAAGATCTTAAAGATAGGCGTATAACTTTCTTGTGCAATGTAAAAGTACCAAATCAAATTCTAGTCGTACCTATATGGAAGTCTATGACAAACAAGACTAGGAATCAACTAACCAATATAAGATAAGATCTGCAAAGTAGTATGGCATCACTGAGGTTGGTGTAACTCCCTGAGCATAACCAGAATTGTCCTGCAGATATTGTCGAATAAGCTAAGAGCTTGCAATACATGGTAGTATGATATCACTAAGGTTGGAGGAACTCTCTAGGTATAACCAGAATTGTCTTGTTTGTAAGTGCAACAAGTCCTAGTCTCTATCATAAAAAGAAGCACCATATTGGAGGTTAAATGCAGCATCAAGTTACTGTATAACATTAAGACCTAGGGCATCTGCAGGAATGGCGATAGCAGGTTTGGCTTGAGATACAGATTGGTCAAAAGACCAATGGTGGCAGCAAATCTGGCTTAAGATACGGGTTCATTGTAGATCCTGAACCATTATCAGAACACCTTAGAAGAATCAATAATAGGCAAACCAAAGATGGAAAGATTATAAAGATCAGACATACCTGAGTAGGACCAATTTGGGAGTGATACAGTGATGAAAAGGTGGGAAATGTAGGAAACAAGGTAATACTAGATATAGTTAGATTAGGAGGCAGAAGAAACAAGACTAGGTAAAACATATGAGTGGGATATATAAGTACAATTTACAGAAGACAGTACCTCTGGCATTTGGGATGCTGCATTAAGTTCGGTAGGTATCTTTGTCTGTATAGTGGTTTAATGTATGCCATGACCACAAGTAGTTGCCAAGGCAACTGCATGCAGGCATGCGGCGGACATGCACTTAGGTGCCATAAGGGTAACCGGGTGAAGTCAGTGATGTTAAATTAGATAGTATATAGTACTAG